ATATATATATATATATATATATATATATATATATATATATATATATATATATATATATATTTACAGGTATGTAGATATATAAATAGATTTTGTATATGAAATCTTGATGAAACTTGCTATTAATATTTTTTGATTTTTGCCTGAAATCTCTATGGTAAAAAAATGTGTATAAAGATAGTCATATTCCTAATTTTATATTTAAAATATTAAGTTGTTCAAAAAAAAAATTATTTGAAGTGAACTACGAAAATCAAATTAACAAATTAAAAAAAAAACTACTAGATATTATTAATAAAATCAAACTAAACGTTTTTAAATAAGAAAAAACTAATACGAAAAGATATTTTACTATATAAATCTATTCAATTTAAATAATAATAATAGATTTATTAACTTAAATTAAAAAACCTAGCAATTTAATTATATTTAAACCTATTTAAACTTAAATCCCGAAAACTTGTTATATTAAAAAACTGGCCTTCTAATTTTTGGCCTATTTATGCAACATATCCGGCTGTGTATAAAGTAGGCCATGGCTTACCTTTGGCAGGAATTTAGAGTTTTTGCTCCTAAACACTATTCTACAAGATGTCATTCAAAAAATATTATTTCAAATAGCAAATGCAACAATATTGCATATAGATTATTACGCAAAAGAATTATTAAAATATGAAATTCTCTGATTGTGTAGTTTATTCGTTTTCATTGTCTAAGTTGTCAATTTGTACAGTTTAGTAGCATTGCTTGAATGGTAAGAATAACAATCTTGGTCTACACACTGATAAGTAACCCTACTTTAAAAACATAGAAAAATAGAATATAAACATATATTAACTTTAAACATATTACATTTTATGAGCACATTTTATTAACTATAAATATTTATTTTGTTACACATTTAAGTTTATCATAAACAATAAATTAATAACAAATTAATACATTTAAAAATACAGTTGTGAATTATTTCAGTTGTAGGTGTAGAATTATCTCACACCATTATATTGGGTTGTAGACAAAAGTATTAAAAAGATCTGGTTAACTGAACTTTTTAATTAAGCCATAGCATCTTCAAAGTTTTTTTTAAAGGCTTTCTTCCTACTTCCTAGTTGATGGTAAAACTATAATGCGCCCTAGTCTAACATGAATGTTTCCAAATTTTTTTACATATTTATGTAAGGCATCATACTGCTCACATGGCATTTTTTTTGGTTATTTTTAATTAAAGATGTAGCTGCCCTATAAATAAATTCTTTGAAATCCATATCTTTTTATAAGTTAATATATAATATAGATAATTTATAGTTTATAATATAGATAATTGTTCCAGGGGCTATTTTAGCAAAAAATTTGGGCAGCAGTACTCCCCATCCCAAAGAAATAACAAAAAAAAATCGTTTTACGCAAAAATTACAATATTTGCAAAAAAAAAAAAAATGTTAAAAGACAGGAAAAAAAGTTCTCCAAAAAGTAGCCAAAAACCAGTATTAAAAGATAATTATCTACTTTTCTTATTATTTTCCAGAATCTGGTCAGCTGTACAGAATTCATAAGTACATGACTTATAAAATAATGATCTTACTTACATGTCTAATTAGTTTCTCCAGAAAAGCTTTTATTTGTCAGAATATGTTTTAAAAAAAATAGATATAAAAAATCATAGATATGCACTTCAGAGTAAGGTCTGTAAAATAACATATTTGAAAAATGCATGTCACTGAGGCATTACCTTCTACAATCATAAAAGAAGCTCAAAGAAACCCTAGATAACTTTTTAAAAAAAAAGTGGACAAGGAGACAAACACTCGCCTGCTAAACAAGTCAATCTAGAAGAAAACTGAAACTATGAAAAAAATTAAACACTGTGCTGTGATAAAATTCCTAACCAAGCAAGGAAAGAAAACTCAGACCATTTTGAATGAAATGGGAACCGTTTGGGGAAAGTGCCCTAGTAAATCAATGATTTACAAGTGGCATTGTCTTTTTAAACATGGTTGGGAATCAATTAAAGATGATCCCCACTCAGAAAGGCCTGTTGAGGTCACTACATCAGACATTGTTGAATAAATGGAGAAAATTGTACTGGAGGATACTGAAGAAAAAACAGTTATCTGCATTAATTGGAGTATCAGATACCACCGTTTGACGAATCCTACACAACCACCTGGGTATGAGAAAAGTCAGTGCAATATGGGTATCGAGAATGCTTACACCTCTTCAGAAACAGCAGCCCGTCGATGTGGCAAAACAATTTTAGGAGTTGTTTGGAGACGAACCTGCACAGATTTTGGAGCGGATTGTTACCAGAAATAAAACATGGCTTCATCACTTTAAACCCAAGTCCACACAAGAGTCCATGTAATGGCATAAAATGGGGACACCATCCCCATTTTATGCCATTATTGATTAGAAAGTTACTTAGCTACTGTTTTTTGGGATTGTGAGGAGATATTACTTATTGACTGCAAAGAAAAGGGCTGGAGCATAACCGGAGAATACTACG